ATATATACTAGATGTACGATATCAGCCAATATGATCATTAATATACGTCTAAACGGTATATTAATATTATTAATATAATCGCTTAGATTTGTTACTAGTATACAATACTTGACACCATTTTCAACTGTTTTATCAATTAATTGATACATTATTTTGTTGTTGTTGTTGTAATAACTTAATTATGTTAGTCTAAAATTTTAAGTAACAAAAATTAATATAATACTCAACTATACTTTTTTATAGTATTTATATTATTATAAATTATTTTAATATATAATTATAATAGAATATTTAATTATTTTATATAAGTTTTAGATAATAATACGTTTAAAGTTAGTTATCAAAAACTTTATTTTAAATATTATAGTTAACTAAAAAAATACAATATAAAATTTATTTTACCAATATAATCAATATTTATATAAAGTTTAACTATAAATTATTTTATTATATATATAATTAGTAGTATTATTATTTTATTAATATTAAAAAAAATACAATTATCTTGAAATTATACAGTTGTTAGTTAGCCAATAATTTATTATAAGCGTGTTATATGAATAATAATATATTTTTAACTTATAGAAAATATATTTTAACAGTCAATCAATAATATATATATATATATATATATATAATTTGTTTTGTTATATATATTTTTATTAAACTAATAGTAAATTTTATATAATTTAATATATAAAATATTTTTGATGTTAGATTATTAATTTATGAATAATTATTGATTACTGTTATAAATTATATTAAATTAAATTACTAAGACTAAAAATTAATTAAAAGTAAGGTTAAAATTATACCTATATATTTTTTATTACTATTATTCATTTGTATATTTTAGATTATATAATAATTAAAAAATATTATTAGTAATTAAAAATATTGTACATAAAACAAATGAAATATTATAGCTTATTGCAATATAGGTAAGTTAAACTATTGTAAATTTAAATAATACGAAAACAAAATTTATTTTATAAATATAATAATAATGATAATAAAAGATTATTATTTTATGATTAGTCACACAAAAATATTTTTTAGTTTTCATTTTTTAAATATTTCTTTTTATTAATTTTAAATATATTTTTATTAAAATGTTTAATTTAAAAAAAAATTAAGATTTATTATATTTGTAATATTTTATAATAATAATAATTATATTACAAAGATATAGTTTTTAGTATCTATAATCCTAACAATTTAACTATAATTAAAAAAATTTATAACTTATAATATATATACTGTATTTAACAAAATATTTATTATTATTATTAATTATTTTCTATAATATAATTGTAAAAATTCTATTATTATTACTAAACTATACCTGTATTATAAATGATACAATTATTAGTTGACAAATTGATTACAATAAGCTATCATATTTTGTTTATGATATTTATAATCAATACATATATCTTTTTCCCGATTGGATTTAAATTCAATCAATGCATAGTATAATTCCGTATATTCACTGTCTGTACATTTATCAGTATTTATCTAAATTTTTTTTTGTAGAAAAAAACAATATATTAAAAAACAAATATTAAAAATAAAACATTTATATATATATATATATAAACTTAATTAAATATTAATTTAATTTATTTTGTTATTGTTGTTTTTGTTGTAGCATTTAAAAACATTTAAAATACCTTATTTATAATTTAGTATTTATTTATTTAAATTTTATAATAAAAAATTAGATATACTATATTTAAAATTACATAATTAAAAAAACTTACATTAAAATATCGTTCAATGCATCCATAGGCCAACCAATTTTGACAACAATATTGTTTTGATTCAAATGTCCAAATTGTTGACGTTTTGTTTAGACAATTGTTTAGGTTATCCGTATTTTTTCTAATACAACTACTTTTAACAACCATTTCACGCATCAAATGGCTATACTGTTGTATACCGCATACCAGTGCCAACATAATGGACAATAAGGTTAGAATAATTAATATTAGTTTCATTATTAATATTTCAAAAATAATATTATTATTTTTTCACTATTTAAAAATTTATTTCAAATAACTAATATTTTTTTTAATGAAAATTAGTTAATTTAATTTTTTGTGAAAAATTATTTATTCTGTTATTTATAGTTAAACTCTTTTATAATATAGTTTATTAATTATAATTATTATTTTCTAATTTTATTTTTTTAGATAACAGTTAATTTATTATTTTATTTTTTAATAAACTAAATTATTTGTTTTTTGCATATCTGTTTACTGGGGAATATATAGATAATTATAAACCTTGAGTTTTATATACACATATATTAAAAATATACTGTATAAACACAGTATAATATAATTTAATAAAAAGTACTTTTATTTATATATAATATTTTATTTGTTGAAAAATAAATTACAAAATAAAAAAGTTTGAAAGAAATTATTTATACAACTATAGTGTAAATATTATTTTATAAAATAATTATCTAAAAAAATACTTTATAAAAATAATATTATCTTTTAATAATAAATAAATAAATAAAAATTAAAATCTAAATCTATTAGACATAATAGTTGTCTAACATTTTAGTTGTATTTATTTGACAATCATTTTTAATGACCATAACTAACAAAAATAATAATATAATTATTTTTATAATAATTATTATAAAAATAAAATAAATATAATTTTATAGCAATTAACATTTTATAAAGTATTAATTTAATTTTCAATAAATTGTTATTATAAAAATCTTAATTATTAAAAAAATTATTTTAATTAATAATGAGTAATTAATTAATTATTATTACTAAAAAATAATTATTTATATATTATTTACTAAACATATGGTATATTAAGTTTTTTTAAAATGAAGATTTTAATTAGTTAATTAAAATTAAAATAATTTTTACTTATATTTTACTACTATAAATCAATTTTGACTAAAATAATAAAGGTAAAACTTTAGTTTTAGTTTATAAATTTACTAAATAATTTCAACAACAACAACAAACTTAAAAGTTCAAAAATTTATAAATATGGTATAGATTATTATTTTTTTATTAAAAAATGGGATCAAAATTAGTAAAATTCAAAGACATTGAAACTGTTTTTCCTGATCTACGGGATCGGGTGACTGCGGAATCAAACCAACTGACCGAACACATGGCTAATCTACTAATACAACAACAATCTAATAATGATAATAATAACAATAATAATAATACTACTAATAATTATTATAGTAAAGCTAAATCATTATTAGAAATTATGCCAACTGACCCTGATAATGATATTGATGATAATAATGCTAGTACTGATGATGATGATGACTTTATTGATTGTATTGATGGAAGTAATGATGGTGATAATAATGATAATAATAATAATACCAATGATATAGATGTTAAAATGTTAGACATAAGCCATGGTAATCATAAAGCAATAATTAAAAATATTAATAATGAAAATAATGAAAATAATGAAAATAATGAAAATAATGAAAATAATGAAAATAATGAAAATAATGAAAATAATGAAAATAATGAAAATAATGAAAATAATGAAAATAATGAAAATAATGAAAATAATGAAAATAATGAAAATAATGAAAAACAAGCAACAATTGATGATATAAATAAAATATTTCAAGATAGTATATTTAAACTAATTAATTGTCAATATAAATTAAATAAACTATTTATTGAAATGGACATCAATGTACTTGAACAGTTTAAACAAATTTTGAAAACTTTACATAACTATTTGGTAATTGTCATGGATTATTGTTATAAAGTATTTCAATGGCTACTATTGAAAGTTAAATCTGGTTGGTTATTGTCGATGAATGTATTAATTAAATTTAAACAATGGATTAGTTTATTGTTTAAATTTTAATAGTTGTCTTAAATATTACTGTAACTATACAATTAAATATCAATAATGTTTATTATTATTATGATTATTATTACTAATTATTTAAGTTATTATATTTATTATTATTAATTAATAAATATTTTCAACTATTTACATATATTTTATGTTAAGTGTTTTTTTAGGCATAATTTTAGTCCATAATTGTAAAATAATTATTAACATCGTAAATTATAATAATTTAAATGTAGATTCGGAAATATTTTCATTGAACTCACGAAAGTAGTACATATCTGAGTTCTATATGTCTTACTGTCTGTTTGTCTGTCTGTCTGATTGTTATATAAATTTTTTTTTAAATTTTGATTTCGATTTTGTATAAAACAAGCTATGAATCAACATTAATATTTTGATTTCTCTTTAGGAACATAGAGAAAATGTTTGTCAAATTTTTATTAATTTTTTAAGTTTAGATTTGTATGAGTCATCAAAAATAAAGTATAAATGATTTGCATTTAAATTTTTATAGTTCAAAAAGTATTATAGTGGAAAAAATTGTGACTAAATTAATTTTTTTAAAATTTTTTTATTTAGTATTTAAAAATGCTATTCCATTGTAAATAATTAATAAATATTGTTAAATTGTTAGCATTTTTTTTGTCTATAAATTTATATATATAATGTTAAGCACTGGTAAGTTATTATTATTGTATTGTTAAAAAAAATTAATACAAAACAATAATAAAGTTTGAAATTTTATAATAATTATTGCTATTATGAAAAAAATAATATAAAGTTTTCATGTATAATAATCAAATGCTATAAAACTGTTATATTCAAAACCAAAACAATTACTAACACAGTATTGCATGTATATGCGCGCAATATTAGTGTATTTAATGTTAGAGGGGCGGAGTATTTTTTTATAAAGTATAGACTAATTTTACATAGTTATTATACACACTATAATTTATATATATATATATATATATATATATATATATTAAGTATAATCTATAATAAATCTATGTGTGCTCGTGTGTGTTGTGCGTCTACTATTGTTTTGGTTTTGTATATAATCAAAACATTTTTTGTATATAAATTTCTACAAACAAACACTACAGTAATATGTGTACGCATGCGTTGTCATGACTACTACACCTGTAAACATATATTAATACATTTTTGATGACAACAACACAAATGTTTTGAATTGTATTACAGATAATAATAATAATTTTTTTTTGTTGATAAACAATGTCTGAGACGAGCAGTTCCGACACTAACGGAGACAATAGTTTTCACTTTATTACCGATAAAGAGGTGATCAATGGATCCAATAATGCAGTCACAGGTATGCATGCAATGTCTTGACGTATACACAACACACAGGTGTCGGTGACACGTCATATGATAGCATGAATTGATTTATTTTTTTGTTGAAAACCTATTGATATCTTCAGGAACCACACCATCGATATCGATGACATCGTCCACCTCTTCCACATACGATCAACAATTGCCGACACCACCCGATATCAGGTCATTAACTGTCAGTTCGCCGATTGTTATATCATCGGCTTCTGAAGTTAAACCACCTGAATCTCAGTCGCCGCCGTCGCCGACCATTAATGTCAATCTCAACGAAACAACATCAGGCAATCAATCGCCGAAATCGCGATCAGAATCAATGGGTTCGGTGTTTATCGATTGGATTGCAAACAACGATTTCATTACCCGAATGGCTACGAAAGCCAAGAATTCAGTGGACACAGTGATCACTACATTAGATCCGGGAATGAAGGAGATTATCTGTAGTAACCATACGTTTAAAATGCAATTCATTTGAATATATTTATTGACTTTTGATTTTTATTTATTTTCTTTGATTTCTTAGATTCTGGCGGTGATATCAATATAATGGTGACATCGGATAAGGAATCAAAGATCATACCGATTCGCGAAGCCTTTCAGAAAGTGTTCGGTAGGGCAACGGTGTCCGGTATGTCCGCACAATCGCTTTCCATTGCCAATCAACCGGTTGGTTACGAAAATGGCCGCAAAGCGGCTAAAGAACGCATTCAATCGTTACGAATGAATACGAGTGCAATACCGCAAAATCAAGTGATTGTGTCCGTCGAAAGTTTCATTGTTGACGTACTGCCAGACAAGTGATGCCATTATTATTATTTTATATATATATAAAAGTATTTTATAATTATCGGTAATTTTTTATATCAAAAAAAACAGATGGTATGAAATGGCTTGTCTAGTATTAGAAGATCCAGTGATGGCCATCAATCTTGAAGTATTTACCCAATTGACACCCATACCCAACGAATGTATAAATCAATTGCGTTTCGAAACACCCATTGACTACGCTTTTCGGTCGTCCGGCTATAGTCTAACGGTTGGCGCAGTTATGTCGCAAAAGTTGAACGTCCAACCGGAGGAATGGCACGAATCGTGGATCGGAATTCCACGGAAAGATATTATACAGCAATCGGTTACAGCTATAGCGCACATCTATAAGAATCGTTTAATCAGATGAAATGACTGAGCTTTTAATTATTTAGATTTATTTATTATTTTGTATTCATATACAGTATATATTTATATATAGATATAATTCATTTTTGGTTTGTTTTTTATCACTAATGTTATAATAATAATAATAATAATAATAATATACACCTCTAGAGACAAAACATTTGAAACTATTTAGTTATCTGTTTGTTTGTTTGTTGGTTGAGAAAAGCATAGGAAAAATTTTGAGAGACAAAAATTATATATATATTTATATTTTATTTTTATGTTAGCACAGGTATGTCGGAGTGGAATAGGGATTGTATTGTATTTAAAAGACCTGTATTTTTGTTTACATAATATTTATTGATAGATTGAATATATGGTATATACATATCGTTAATTAAAATTGATTTACAGTAATATAAGTATTTTTTTTGGCATTTTTTCATTAAAATGCTTAGTTTTCTAATAATTTTGTTGTAAATGTTTTTTTTAAAAAATTTAAATACTATAAAATAACTTTATTTTATTTTTTTTTTAAGTATTAAGTAATTAAAATGAGACAATTATTTTTTATTATAAATAATATATATATATATTAACAAATTATTATACACATTGTTATAAAATATTAACATTTTTAATATAATATAATACTGTAATATAAATATTAAAAAAATAAGAAAAATATTTTTAATAATTTTCTCAACTTTGAATATTATGCATTAGTTTTTAACAATATTTTTTTTTAATTAGCAATTAATTTATTAATTTTATCAATTTCTTAAAGCTATTTCGTCCATAAGATTAGTTTCAGTTTTTTTTGCCATAGATTGTATAATATATAGTATATATTATATATATATATAATGATATTTAAAATTTAATCATTATTTTTTTATTACTAAAAATCAATAAAGTGATTGTTATATATATATATACAGTAATTGCTGTTTTTAATTAAATTATCACTTAATTATCAATAATTTATTTTGATTGTATTGATTAGTTTATTTTAATGTTTATAAATCAATTAATTTATATGAAATTATAGATTATATATCAATTAATATCGTCCTATTAAAAATTTTAAAATAGGATTTAACTGATTTTTTGATAAATTTTGATAATACTGTTTATTCAATTTACTTTCAAACAACAACAACACATTCAAATGATATTCAATAGTAGAGAATATTTTGCAATTTTTTGTTGTTTGTTTGATATCATATGTTTTGATATCATCTGTTATTTTAGAGAATATATATATAATATGATGTTTTATTAGACATACGTGTCATAGTCTTGCTATAAAAGTGTGCCACATATTTGTTAATATTTTATTTACACATTATATAATTTATAAATTTTTATATATTATTTTTCAATTAGTAAAATATATTTTTTGAGTTATAATTAAATCAATTTATATTATTGATATATAATATAATATAATATAATGAATGATAATAATAATTCAAAACAGTTACCATCAATTAAAACATTAGATGATCTAATATATCAATTAAGGCAAGCATTTGCCAGCAATGATATAGATGTAGATTACGTACAAAATCTGATGCTTTCGTATGAAAGTAATTCAAATGATTGGTCAAAATATGCACACTTTGATGACTATACGTATGTATATATTGTTTCATAAGTTAATTAAATTATTGTTATTTTATTTTTATATAAAACTACAAAATATTTTGAAAAATATTATATAAATTTTATATATAGATATACTAGAAATTTGGTGGATAAAGGAAACGGAAAATATAATTTAATACTAGTTTGTTGGACACGTGCGGCCAAATCGCGTATACACGACCACTCAGATTCACATTGCTTTATGAAAGTATGAATTTTTATTTAAATTTTTTTTTATTAAGTATTTGTAACAATCATTACAATCAAAATACAGTATAACTGTATTTACACCATAATTTTGTGTTGCTTAATTTTTTTAAAAAATTATTTGTATTCAAAAAATATATATTATTTATAGCAAATATATACAGTAATAATTAGTGATGGATTAAAATTAATATTTATTTTTTTTATTAAATTTTTTTTTAAATTTTTAATTAGGTGTTGGCCGGAGATCTGCATGAAGTACGCTATGAATGGCCCGACAATAGTACTAATAATAATAATAATAAGTCTAATGATGACAACTGTACCGAAAAGTTGAAAATATTGAACGAAAATGAAATGCCATTGAATAGTGTTACTTATATTAATGGTTATTATTAACAATTTTATTCAATTAAACCACACTTTAATTAACTTTTATTTTATTTGATTATTAAAAAAAATCTATAGATTCAATGGGTATACATCATGTGGAAAATCCGGGTCCGACGGGACCGGTATCACTGCATCTCTATATACCGCCGCACGATATGTGCCAAGTGTTTGACAAAACTACTGGTAGTAGTAATAACGCAAAACTAACATTTTATAGTCAGTACGGCTCGCGGACACCGTTTACACTGTCGTCGTCATCGACTCCCAAGACATTGCTAACAAACCTATGATATCTACACACAAATAGTTAATAATAATAAATATTTAAAATTATCTTATTTTTTCTATTTTAATATAGATATAATTAGATAAGTTAATTATATATAATTTTTTTTATATATATATATATACTGTATATATATGTTTGTTTATTTAATATTATTGAGATAATAAATATTTAAACATTAATTAATTATTATTATTATAAAATTATAATTATATAAAATAATAGATTACAAAAATTGTAAAAATATAATTACAAATAGAGTTTATTAAGTATTAATCTTAAACAATGCAAATCAGTAATTTTTTAATATCTAAATTAATATAAAGTAAATATTGTCTCATGATACTTATTTTATAGTAAAATAATTAATCAAATTAATAAAATTATTCTCATAAAATTAATTTATAGAATCTTACATTTATTTAAATAAATATAATATTTACAATATAAAATGGTATTATTTAAAAAAAATCATTAAATCAATTGTTTTTATTTTATTTTAAAGATTTGTAGTAAAAATTTTTGGAACAGGAATTCTTCGTCTATTATTAATATTATTATTATTATTATTATTATTATTATTATTCAATCTAATTCTTGTAAATAGATTAGGTTGACTATTATGATTACTTGTATTATGATGATGATGGTGGTGGTGGTGGTGGTGGTGGTGATGATGATGATGTTTATCATTATTAATAGCATTATCAGTTGTATTATCAGTTGCATCATTAGTTGAATTATCATTATCATTATTTTTATGTATAAATTTTTTATAAATTATAGTAGTTAATTTGGTGATATTTATTAAAGAAAATCCAAATAATAAACTAAATAGACTACCAGATAATATTAAATATTCTAAAAACGAGAATCGATAATATATTTCATAAACATATATGGGTTCTGTAGGTAATGTAACGTAAAGTTCATACGAATTGTTTGTTTCAACATCGTTAGTTTTTAAATCTTTATTATTATTAAATTGATAATAATTTTCGATACAATCCATAATATTAGAACATTGTTTGTCAATACAAAATGATGTAATACTATTGTCTTCATTTTCAGCAAATAATGTGTTATTATTTATAAATTTATTATTAAAACTATTATTATACATAAAAAACAGCCAAATTAGGTGGATATCTGTTGTGTTTATTAAAATAATTTGTTTGCAAACAATTCCAAACACATTTATTATGTGTCATTGTTTCCGAATTTTGGTTACAGTTTTTATTATTAAGTTTATGTAATACTTGTTGTTTTCTATAATTAATAATAGAAGTGTCACCTCGAGTTAAATTTAATCTAATTATATTATTTGATTGAAAAAAATCAAATAATAATTTGTTTCGTTCATGTAATCGGACAAAAATAATTTAATTTTTAATAATTGTTTTATCCACAAATTCTATTAATATAAAAAAATTATATTTGCTATTGTAGTTAGAATTGTATTTATTAATATTTTCATTAAATAACTGGGAAAATATTGTAATATAAAAATAACGATCATCAAATAATAATCTAAAGTCACTTATATTTTCACAGTAATTTGAATTGATATAATAAATTTTATAACATAATAAAATGTCATCAATGTTCAAATTAAACAACAAATATTGTTCATTGATTGTTAGTTTATTGAATAATGTATGATTAAATTTATTTGAATTACTAACAATAAAATAATCGTAGATTGTTTTATTTAATAAATTTGATTTATCGAGGGCAATTGTTATACCCGGTAATTTGTATTGCTTAATTGGTTCAATATTAGTTGAAGTGCCAATTTCATACGTAAAATATAGTATTGTTAGATCAAACAAATAATAACAAAATGTACATGCTAATAGAAAGATTATAGTGTAATTAACTATCTTAAGATAATTCATGATTGAATTAAATTTTTAGTTTAAACAAAACTTATAAAATGTATGTAAAATTCACTTATTTAATAATATTATATAAAATATATATTAAATCTATAACAATTTTATTTGCATATTTCAAACTGATATGTAATATTTCATTTGCTTTATATAATCCAAAAATAAACTATTATATCTATATTAATAATACTTTTATTTAAATATTTAATAATAATATAATAATTAAGATTATTATTGAATTTTGTTTTGTACATATTAAATTATTTTCATTAATTTTTTTAGACCTTTATATTATAAAAATATATTATATAATCTATATATATTTATACTAGTATATTACAATTATCTATTTTTAATAATTTTATTTGTTATATGAATGTTAATATATTTCATACTTTTATAAAATAGTTAAATAGTTTTTTCTAATCGCTTTTTTAATGTATACCCTATTATACTATTGTGTTATAATATCTAATAATTAACATTGAATTCTATTAGTATATTATAAATCAATAATTAAATCTTTAATAATATCAACGACTTTATGGTACGGCTGTCTGTGTGTTGTAGTTATTGTTGTATTTTACAAATACAAATAGCGTGAATCCGTAAACTTTGTCCACTTGTTTAAATTATCAGTCAGTGCTGCCGTCGCCGACCATTAATGTCAATCTCAACGAAACAACAGGCAATCAGTCGCCAAAATCGCGATCAGAATCAATGGGTTCGGTGTTTATCGATTGGATTGCAAACAACGATTTCATTACCCGAATGGCTACGAAAGCCAAGAATTCAGTGGACACAGTGATCACTACATTAGATCCGGGAATGAAGGAGATTATCTGTAGTAACCATACGTTTAAAATGCAATTCATTTGAATATATTTATTGACTTTTGATTTTTATTTATTTTCTTTGATTTCTTAGATTCTGGCGGTGATATCAATATAATGGTGACATCGGATAAGGAATCAAAGATCATACCGATTCGCGAAGCCTTTCAGAAAGTGTTCGGTAGGGCAACGGTGTCCGGTATGTCCGCACAATCGCTTTCCATTGCCAATCAACCGGTCGGTTACGAAAATGGCCGCAAAGCGGCTAAAGAACGCATTCAATCGTTACGAATGAATACGAGTGCAATACCGCAGAATCAAGTGATTGTGTCCGTCGAAAGTTTCATTGTTGACGTACTGCCAGACAAGTGATACCATTATTATTATTTTATATATAAAAGTATTTTATAATTATCGGTAATTTTTATATCAGATGGTATGAAATGGCTTGTCTAGTATTAGAAGATCCAGTGATGGCCATCAATCTTGAAGTATTCACCCAATTGACACCCATACCCAACGAATGTATAAATATATATATAAATAGTTTGTAATTAATTTTTATATAATATAGTAAACAAATTAATACTTTATAAATCTTTTTATTTTATAACTATTATTTAGTTATATTTATTTATACTTTTTTTTATTATTGTGTTTGATATATATCTTTTGATTATGAATAAAAATAATTTAATTTATGAGTAAAATTATAATTTAATCAGAAATTAAAATCATTTAAATTTAGAAAATTTTTAAATTAAAAAAACAAATTCAAATTATTAAAATTAATTAATAAATTAATAAATATTTTGATTATTAAACAATTAATTAAATAAAAAAAGTAAATGTTTGTATTATTATTATTTTATATAAGTAAAAATTATTTAAATGATAATCGACGCCATTTTAAAAAATATTCATTAATTGCCAATTTTTCATTATAATGATCTGTTAAATTTATAAAAAATATAATTATATAAAAAACTTTTTATTTATAAACTAAATTATTAAATTAATTAATTAGATTTGTATTTAAAAAAAACTAATTTATTTATACCTTTATTTTTTACATTTTTCTATTAAATAATTTTAGATTTTCATCATTTATTAGTTTTTTGGGTTTACACAAAATCATGTTAAATAATATATTAATTATTATTAATAATATAAATAATAATACACTTAATTCATAGAATTTAGTCATTATCATTATTTTTTATAATAAATTTAACAATTTTACTTAATTTATTAAAATATATTTTTTCTAATAAAGTATTTTCTAGAAAATGTTAATCAATACATTAGAAAAATGATATTTTAATAAATATTTTATTAATTACGTTTTGAAAATTTTAATTAACATTATTAATTTTGAGGTATGATTAGGTAGAGGTTTTTTATAAGTTTATTTTCAATTAAAACCAGTTGAGAATGCTAGAGAGCATTATCAGAAAAATATCTTTGACGGCATAAAATTTTTTTGTTAGTCATGTGCAGGGTTTTAAAAATGGCAGGCATAAACAATAGATGCCAATTTTGCCAAATGCCTGCCCTGTCTCTGCCATGCCCTGGGCATCTATTTTCAGGTGGTGACACCTATTATTTTAATTTTATATTATTAATTAATTTATAAAACATTGTTTTTATAATATATTTTCTTGTATTTTTGTTTTGTATACCTTTAATTAAAAGGTAATATCATTGGAAATAAGTAAATTAATTGTAAATTAAATTAACACGTTAAAACACTAAATTACATTATTTTTATAAATACAGTTGCTTTTTAGCTATTTAAATTGGCAGGCAAATAAAACAGATGCCCAAAATGCCAGGCATTTATGGTATCTATTTGGGCATTGCCAGGACAGGCTTTTATTTCCTTAAAACCCTGGTCATGTTAGGTATCAAATTATACTCACAACAAACAAAATAAACTCAACTATCGTAATGTGTGGTATCAAATGATTCAGTATGACAAAATAATCTCAACTAATGTTGAATTTATTAAGTTATACTGTATTATTTGATTTTAATTTAATTTTTATGTCGAATTAGGAGTTCGTATGGAAATGCTTACTAGCATTCTCAACTGGCTTTTATTCCATATCTATTTAAATGTATTTATTTTTTTAAATGTTTCAATCATAGATGGCATTCACAAGTGTTGAATACATTGTTTTCATATCAATTTAGCGGTAAAATTTGAAAATCTCAATTAAATTTAAGTTTTTTTTAATCAGATAATAATCATTTTAAAAAATTATTACTTTGATAAGTAAGCAAAAAAAATTTGAATGTTATGTTTTATTAAAAATAGTCATTTTTTAAAAGTTTAAATTTTAAATCAAATATTTTTGTTGTTATTTACTAAAAGAAAAAACTTTTAGAAATATTATTATTAATTATTAACATTAATTGTGGCAAACATTTAATAAAAAACAGTTTCGGAGTTTAATAATAATAATTGAATGAATGAATAGTTTTTTTTAAAATTTTTTTTTATAATTTTTAGTATATGTTTCACTACATATGTTGCCAATTGAATAATAAATTGAATGATTTTTTTGTTGTTGCAAAATGATATCAAAAAAATATATTAATGAAAAGTTTTTTAAGTTAAAATAAAAACTTTATTTATTTATTTATATAAAATGTTATCATTTTTTTATTAAAAAAAAAGTTTTCAACAAACATTGATTAATAATTAATGAAATTAAAAAAACAAACATACAATTTATTTGTTAGTTTAGTTTATTTGTATTATTTTCGGCTAACATTTCATCGGTTGGCCGCCTGGACTGTCCTCATCAAACCGATAGACTCTGTCCAACCATTTTGTATTGTCATCACCACTGGTGGTTGTGGTGGTGGTGGTGGTGGTCATCAGCCACTTGTTTCTGTCATCAGTGCAATCAATACTGACTTTCCATAGAAATATACGGTTTGACTGGTGTGCGGCCAAATAGGATCGCATCGACCGTTCCTCCAGGTATTGCCATTGAACAACTGTATTATCCTGAGGCAGGGGAAACACCAGTAGATTAGTTGGTCGACCCAAATAGTTGAGTGCATCGTCGGCAAACCCTGAACTGTTTAGCCATTTGTTAGCCAATGTTATATTAAACGGTTTGTTATTATTATCCACACCACTGGCTGCTGACTGTCCAAACACCAGTACATTGTGATCAATGTGTTTGATATCCGTATAGGATATGTCCAACTTTTCCAGTGCGGTTAGTCCGCGAAATGCTTGGCCTTGGATTTGACGCAATTGACTGCCGGCCAGTGATAAAGTTTTCAGTGACCGTTGAAGACCGTTGAATGCATTTTCCGGTATGACTTCCAGATTGACATTTTGTAGGGCCAGTGATTCGCATGAAACAAATCGATTAATTATGTTCAACAGTGCCGGTCGATTGCGATTTTCTTGCCCTACCTGTCCATCGTTTCGTTGATCTAGGTTTGGACACTCGCGCAACTGTAGCCGTCGGGTATACCGATCGGTACCACGGAATGCATCGAAATCAATATGTTTGAGCTGACCGGCACCGGTAATCCGGATCCATTTGAATGTCAGGTCGGATAAAAAATTTGCGGGTAATTCAATGGATTTGATATTCAATAGATACAGTTCCCGATAGTGTTTGCGTCTATCTAATTGTCTAATTATATACAATATATATATATTGGGATCACATTTTATCAGGATTTAGTGTCTAGCTATCTAACTATATATGATATATATCATACTTATCTGTATTATCATTAATTTGATCAGGATCATCATTATTATTATTATTACTATTACTACTACTACTACTTAATTTTTGTTTATTATTATCTGGAGTTTCATAGTCGCTATTGTTTTTATGATTATCCAAATAGTCATTTAGTTTTTTAAATACCCTGGTTAAATCATCAACTTGTTGATCACATTTTAATTGACCATGTTGACATTTACATGGTTCAACAATTTGCTGATCTAATGGACACTGAGCCCAACAATGTATTTGAATTGTTTTATAATTTAGTAGTAGTAGTAGTAATAGCAAAGTTTTAATTGAATCTATTGAAAATAAAAATAAATTAATTAAAATAAAATAACTAATTATTTATATTACAATTTTATAAATTAAGTAATTAAAGCAGTAATTTAAATTAATTTTCTTAGTAATTTACTTACAAGTTTTGAATAATTTTTTATACATTTTTATAATCAATTATGATATTTGTTTAAAAAATTAATTTATTATTTTAATTTTTATTAAGGTTTAATAATGATTTTTTGATTTGTTATTTTTTTTAACAATTTTAATTTGATAATAATTTTTTAATAATATTTAGTTAAAAATACAGTATTATTATTATTATTATTTCTAATAGTATAAAGATATTTAATTAATTAAACGTGTTTTTATAAATATATTTAATACTATGCATATGTTGTAAAAGTAAATAAATAACTTTTTGTATTGTTTTATTTAAAATTTTATCAATAATTACAAAAAATGAATAATATTGATAGCAAAAAAAATGGTTTCTATTATTTGTATTGTAAAATAGTTAAAATAGTTATAATTTATAAATTATAATCTATGTATGTTGTAAGTAAAATATTATAATTTATTTTTATAAATATTTAAATAAATTTTTTTTGTTGAAAATAATTATAATGAAAATATAAAATAAGATTTTTAAAAGTTTTATTAATGTTGTAATTATTTTATATTTGTTAATTTAAATTGATATCTAATAAATCCTAGCTATAAAATTTATGTCCATATATTAAACTTTATAAATCTATTCAAAAAAATATAGATAGCTTATTTGTGACAATATTTTAATAATTTTAAAAAATTAAAACTACAAATTAGTTATAATTTTGAATAATATTTTGTATTATGTTTATTTTTAAAAAAAAAATTATTACACAAAATTAAGTTATATTTTAGTTTTCAAAAAAATAAATTATTAGTTAACAATAATTATATTATTGACAACTAAAATTATAAATAGCATTTCAATAAATAAAATGAATTTAATTATTAATATAATTATTTAAATTATTAAGAAATTGTAGTAAAAACTAATTTAAAATGAATTTATTTTAAATAAAAATATCAAATCTATTATACAATAGTAAAAAAATAATATTATTTCTATTTAATAACAACAAAATTATTAGGAAAATTCCCTTTAAAAAATATTATGTAAATTTACAGCAAATAATTCAATACACAAAAAAAACTAACAAATCATTTATTTAACCAAATAGGATATACAGTGCTATTTATTATACAATAATATTTTTTATATATATAACTTGAAGGTCACCAAACATAGACTTATTATTTATATTATAGAGTTTGTACTGTAGTACAGGTAATAGCATATGATTATATAAATTTATTTATTAATACATATATTTTTATTGTGTGTGTGTCTATAACTTGAGTGATACACTGATTATTATAATTTTATTTTATTGCTAATGATTTTCATTAGAATTATGAAAATTTTTTGATATTTTTTAAAGAAAGCAAAATAAGAAACACTATTTAAAAAACATAATATATTAATAGTTTATTATTATTATTATTATTATTATTATTATTCATATATAATGTCCTAATGAGTATCAAACCGAGAAAATAAGTACATCAGTACTATATAGTAATAATAATAATAATACTATCTCTCTCTCTCTCTCTCTCTCTCTCTCTCTCTCTCACTGTCTATCAGTCTATCTATTTATCTATCATTTCATTTTCATCCTGTTTTTATTTTTTTTAAAAATCAAATCAATAATACTGTCTATGATATCACTTAAATGTTTTTTTTGACAGATAATTATAATGTACTTTAAGCTAATATTGTAATATTAATACTGGTAAAATATAGAAATAAAATAATAATAATAATAATACCCGTAAATGAATAATATAGTATAAAAAAAATTAACATTAAATGTACTTTTTTAAGAAATAATAATAATAATAATAATAATAAAACTTTAAAAATATTAATGACAAATGTACTTAACAATTGGTCATTTTATGCATATATAAAAATATATTATATATATTTTTGAGTACATAATAATTAATTGAAATTGATATAAATAGCTGATATTTTTCTGAATCACTTGATAGGTATCAAAAAAAGATATTACATTAAAAAATTGTTTTAAAAAATAATTAATTTTTGTTGTTATTATTTGTTTCATATTTTCATATTATAATGTTTACTAATAAACAACAAGTATTGTTGGCCGCACTGGTAGTTGTGATCAGTGTTGGACTGTCCACTGCCGCTGGTTTAGCCGATCTACTCAATCGACCGGATATTAAGCGCGGTTTGACTCATATATGCGGACCTAACCTAACAAAACAACAGCATCAGGCTGTCGATCAATGCGATCGGACAGTCATACCGGCAAATGTATGCCATATTTTGTTTGTCTATTTTTGCTGAACATATATAACTGTTATGTTTGTCATTAATGTAGCTATTAATTAATTACTATATAATTATAATAAGTTTTTTTTTGTATATATTTGCTTATCAATAGATCCGTAACGGCTTTACATCCTGTGTCCGGTCATCATTGGGTGTGAAAAAGTTTACAAAACCGATGCTATGCTATCGGGTACAGCCGGGCGGCGAAAAGGTAAGTCCTACTACTACTACTACAACTACTACTACACATATACACCCGATTTTTTAAAAAGCATAACTTATTGTTGAAAAATAAAACTCAATTTATTTTATTTATTAATTATTTATTTACTTTGTAATCAAATTAATCAGATGAGTCCGTGTTTGAAGAAAAAACGTGAGGATAATCGTCGCCGATTGCCTCCCGGTGTCAACCTTCAGGAACTACAGAAACAGATTTTCGATGAATACCAAACATGTTTGAAACGTGCGATCGGACAACAATAAAAATCAGGGAACGGGATGTCAAAAAAAAATGTCTGTATGTGTGAGCTTTTTTGCAAAAAAATACATTTGGGAATGCCTTATGAAAAAAAACTTCCGGATCATTATTAATAATAATTATAATCCTACTTATCTATACTTAACAAAAAATTTTTTTTTTTATATATTGTTTTTGTTTCAAAAAAATACATTATTTTATTTTTTGTTGCCATAAAATTTTTTTATATAAACTGTTGTTATCTATATTATCTTAACTTTGCTTTGATTTGTGATTTAATACTAATAAAATAAAAATAATTGCTAAAAAAACATTTATTGATATTATTTGTATTTTATTTTAAATAATTTACTAATTTAATTCACTAGTATTCATAAGTTTAATTTACTAGTAATTTACTAATTTTATTTTTATAGTATTGATATGAGTTTATTGATAAGTATTAAAATTTTATTTGTTTATAAGATTATTATAGTTTGGATTAAGGTTTATAAACATTTCAATAAATATAAAGTTATTGTTTTTTTTATATCCCTAAATATAATACAGTATATACTGTTTATACATGATTATACATTTATACAGTATATACATGATATTTATGGATTATAATTTTATAGACTAATTAATCCAAACATAACTAAAATGCCTAACCCTAATTAATAAATAATTCAAGGCTATTAAAAAATATTATGCTAACTGTGCTATACCTACTACTAGTGCTATATATTATACAGTATATTGTTAAGATATAAATATACACACAAACACAAAAATTGTATTTAATTAATCTATTAATATTGAAAACAATAGGATGTAAACTTTTCTATATATATAATGTAATGTAAATTGAAAATCAAAACTAAATAAATAAATTAGTTTATGATTTTTGTTTTTTTTATAACACTTTCAAACTGTGAAAGTGTTTTTTCGACAAAAATAAAATAATAATAATAAAACATTAAAAACCCTTATAATTAAAAAAAAGTAGATAATTGTGTCATTGATTTTGTGTTGTATTTCAGTAATGAGACATTGATTTATAATATATATAATAAAAAAAAATTAATCAAATATTTTATTTGTGATATATTTTTTATTTATTGTTGTTGTAGTGTTTTAAACACACACACACACACACAATATCTGTTAATAATATTATTTTCATAAACTTTTTTTTTGATAATACAAACACAACTATTATTATTATTACGACAATGTTTACCAAATTTATTGCTTTACTGTTGACAATAGTAGTGGTATACTGTCTGATGGATACCTGTGCTGCCGATGAACTGGAAAGACAGACAATGGATACACTGGAAAGTGCCAGCAAAGTCATATGTGTGACCAGCGGTCTGGATCCGGACAGGGCTAGTATTGTACGCCAGTGCGAGGCTAGCGTACCGTCATTGGTAAGTTAATCATATTTTTTTTTGTGTGGGGCGGGGGCGGGGAGAGAAAGTTTTCATGGTAAATTTTTGTTAACAATATGTTTTTGTTGTATTTCCAACTACCCTACCCAACCCCCCTCCCATCAACTCAACTTACAGTACAAAAATACGTACAGCACGTGTGTTAGGCAAACCCTGAACATCCGACAAATGACACTACCGTTTATTTGCTACCGTTATATGGAAGGTGGTCAAAAGGTACAGTATCTAACCTTATATTATTAATTAATTAATTAATTAATTAAAAAATGCAATCATTATAATTATATTTTTATTACCCCCCAGGTCAAAGATTGTCTGGATAATAGGAGGCGTATAGCAGCCAATTTGGGCCTAAATGTTAACTCAATGAGAGTCCGGATACTCAACAATTATGCCGCCTGTGTTAGACCGTTGCTTATGATGTAAATTATAATTATTATATATTTTTTTGAAAACAATATTATTATTATTATTTTATGATTTAATTAGTTTAACAATTTTTTTTAAAAGAGATTATTTAGAGTTTACAATTTTGTTGTAAATATTTTTTTTCTTTTTTTAACTTTTATATACATAATTGTATTGTGAAATCAATTTCCAATTTAAAAAAAATTAATAAAAAATTTATAATTAATTAATTTTTAGCTTACAAGTTTTTTTTAAAATAACTAATTATAGTGTACAAATGTACTAATAATACTAATAATAATGTTATAATTTAAAAAAAAAATGTTTTTATTACCTCAATCATTAATTATTATTGTACTTTAATTAATTAATAATAATACAAATTTATTTTTAAGTTAATGTGTACTATTGTACAATTGAAATTGACAAACAAAATAAATTTAAAAAAAAAATAATTAATTATTATAATTAACTAGTTTAACCAACCAACAAGGCTAATAACAAAAAAATATATATATATAAACTAAACACAATAGATCTAGTATACTACTGTATATACAGTATATAAGGGTATATAAAAATTTATTTATAACTTATTAAATTTTATGATAAAGTTTATTTTTTGTATTTATAAGTAATATCACTAAATTATTTATAATATTTTCTAAATTAAAAAATAAACTTATTTTTTTAGTTGTTTTTTATTGTGTTTATATCTTGATTGTTTTAACAACAACAACAATAATGCTTAAAAAATTATATATTATACGAAATGTAATAGTTGTTTTAGTTGCACTGGTAGTTTTTGATACTGGTAGTGTCCATTGCGAAACCTTAAACGATGATACAATGGATATACTCAAACAAGTGGCCGATAGTATGTGCGCTGACCTACCCGCTGACAAACTGGCCATTTCTAGCGAGTGTACCAGCGGGTTGTCATCAATGGTATTTGCAATCATGAAATGTTTATTTTTTAATTATAATATATATAATTAATTTTCAATTAAAAAAAATAATAATAATTATAGTTTGATATTTAATTAAAAACATTGATATTATTTTTTAAATATATATAAATTATACTAATGTTAAGATTTATATAATAAATAATTTATTATTATTGTGTATATCTTTAGTTATTATTGATTTTTTTGTCGATAATTTAAAAATCTAATAAATTAATTCATAATTTATATATAACAACAACAACAACAACAACAACAAGTTTGTAATGACATTCAATACATGTTTGAGTCAAACAATGGAAATCCAGTCAATGGACAAACCGTTTCCATGCTATTGGCGTATGGGTGCACACGATAAGGTATAGTCTAATTATATTTTTATACATCCATTTCCATACAYACACACACACACACACACACTATGAAAAATATTTTATAAAATTGTCGAAAAATTTAATTTAATTTTTGTTGTTGTTGTTGAAAAAATACATGTACTCTCCCAGTTAAGGGCCTGTATGGATAAGCGCAGTGAGATGGCCAAGAAAATGGGTATCGATACCGAAGCTATGAGAGCTAAGATCCTGAATAAATATACGGTATATTATTAATATATATTATATATATATATATATAATTATATTTATATCATGTTATTATAGATTTTGTATTATATATTTTTTGTATATTATCTATATTTATTTTTATTTAAAAGTGTTAATTATTTTTATTTTATTTATTTTTTTACTGTATTATATCTAGACATGCATTAAACCAGCTTTATGAATATTGGATTATAGTTAAAATTGTTTAAAAAAATATTGATTTAAAATTTATATATATATATTTAAATATCAATAAATAAATATATTTATATATATATTAAATGAATTTATTGAAATAATTATTTTTTTTAATGTATTTTATATAATAAAATTTATACTTTCTTTTATATTTATTATTGAATTAAAAAAATTAATATTAGTTAATAATCTATGAATAAATAATTTTAAATGTATAATTAATATTACATTTTATTATGTTAGTAGATTACAATTTTTATATTAGTATAATTTAAATATATTTTACTAAGTTAATTATAAATATTATTTTAAAAATTTAAACAACTGTAAATTTAAATTTTAAATAAATATTTATTATAAAAATTAAAGTTATAAAATAAATTTAGAAATCAGTTAATAATGTTGTTATTCTATATATAATATAATAATACTAATTATTTTACTTTTTTAATATATTAGTTTAAAATTACTAAAACAACATAATATTTTTGATATTTTTATTATAATAATAATAATAATTTAGAAAAAAAACAATAATTAAAGATATATCTACTTTATTTAATATAAGAAAAAAATATTAATAAATTAATACTAAATTAACTTAACAGTTGCGTAGTTTATAAAAATATTATTAAATATTAATAAGTATTATTGATTTCTTTTTTATTATTATTATTAACAATGATACTGATACTGATAATAATAAATAATTAATTAGAAAATTATTAATTATTTAGTAATCAAAAAAAATAAATATTTTATTAAAGTTTATTGTCAAATAAAATAATATCAATAATATTATAGTCATAATAATAATACTGAAATCATTGATGACTAGACACATAATTAAAATACTGAAAAACAATAAAACATAAATTGTGTTATTATTATTATTATTATTATATTATACAAGTTTTAATCAGTGAAAGTAATATCTATTATAAGTTTATTATAAATATATATACTGTATATATATATAACCAAAAAAAAATTAAATGATAACAAGTTATGAAAATAATAACTATTCATTGCTAACAATAATAACAACTACAATGAAAACTGAATATGAATTGAAAAAATCACTTTCACTACGAATACGTATGAAATGGTGGTTCAGGCGTCAGTTTCGGCTATTCAAACAACAGCATCTGTCCGCTTGGCTACCAGTGCTAACCAAATACACTGTTTTACCAACTTTTTTCCTAATCTCTATGTTCATGATTGCAGTCGGTGTGTGCTTACTCTATCTGACCGGTACTGTCCAGGAATGGCGACTAGACTATACCCACTGTTCGCCAGTCAACTCCACCAGTACCTGTGCTGACCAGATCAGCGGCAGTCAGCAGCAGCTACCTGTCCTCCTCCAGCAACAACACCAACAACAGTGTCAGTGCTGGTATCGGTTTGTTTTGCGCGAAAATTTCGTATCAAATGTTTACGTATACTATGAACTGTCCGGCTATTATCAGAGTCTAATGAAATATATATTAAGCAAAAATACGGCACAATTAGCCGGTTCGTTGGCCATACCGGACAAATGTGACGACAGTGGCGGCCAGTATAACATGTTTATGTATGAAAAAGTCAACAACAACAAGGATATGCCGGTTGCACCGTGCGGTACAATTGCCAACAGTTTGTTTAACGATACGTTTAGTTTATGGCGGGTCAGTGGTGATGATAGTGATAATAATAATAATGGTGGACAGTCAGGTCTACAGCCGGTGCCATTGCTATACACTGGTATCAGTTGGCCAACTGATAGGCAAAAATTTCATAATCCGATCGGTATTATTATGATTACTGATACTTAATATTTATTTGAAGTAATAATTATTTAAAAAAATAAAATCAAAAAATATTTACAATTTTTGTTTTCTGTCTATATATTTACTACAATTTATTAATAATATACAGTATTATGATATCTAAGTATTATTTTTGTTTCATGAATACACACTTTTTTTAATAAATTTTTTTTTAAAAAATAGGTATTCCCTTAAAACAGGCCTACGCCAATTTTACTAGTCCACCGTATTGGCGCCGACAGTTATGGGAACTGGATCCCAATAACCAGGACAACAATGGTATGCAAAACGAGGCACTTATAGTATGGTTTCATACGGCAGCCTTTCCCCAGTTTCGTAAACTGTATGCCAGAGTTGATCACAATAGAGAAACGGTATATAAATCGGGACTACCGGCTGGTGACTATGTTATCAAAATTGACTATAGTATGCAAACAACTATTATATATATATATATAGTATTATAGGTATATATATATAGATAGATTAATATTTACTTATTGTTTTTGTTATTATATCTTTTAATAATAATAGACTATCCGGTGACCATGTTTTCCGGCACCAAAAGCATAGTCATTGGCAATACTTCATGGATGGGCAATAAAAACCCGTTCCTGGGTATAGCCTACATAGTAGTCGGTGGTCTAACATTTGTTATAACAATACTATTATTTTGGATTCATATTAGATATGGATATAGGTATTTATTTTTTCAAATATTAATAATTTTTTAAATATTAATAATTTTTTTTAAATATTAATAATTTTTTTAAATATTAATAATTTTTTTAAATATTAATAATTATTTTAAATATTAATAATTTTTTTAAATATTAATAATTTTTTTAAATATTAATAATTTTTTTAAATATTAATAATTTTTTAAACATTAATAATTTTTTATATAATAATAATTAAACAAAATAATTCCATGATTTTAAAACCTAAAAAAATAATGATATAAATATTGTTAGTAAATTATAAAAATACTAATTTTTGTATTTTTCTATATTTCATCTATTTAATATTTACTTAATTTTAATATTATTTATTACACTATTTAGCAAATATGAACGATTAACCATAACCTCCCGTACACCTTATTTTAGTAGCATAAAAGAGCCTAGACAAATTAAATGGCGCAGATATTTTAGCTGGCTTATTGTTTGGCGAAAAGTTAATTTTTAATAATAATAATTGTAATAAATTTTAAACAATTTTCTATAAAAAAAAGTAAACTTGTGTTTTTTAATCTAGTCATTGTACATTGATTAATTATTTTCATATAATTATTAACAGGAAAATTTATCATGCATAAATTTATTTTAATAAGTATATATATATATTGTATATTTTTAAACATTAATAAAATAAATAATACAATAATTATAATAATAATAAAAAAAATAAATAAAAATTTCAATTAAGTATTTGTGTACTAATAAAAATCATAAATCAATCATTAATAAATATATAAATATGTGTTTAATAAAACTATATGCTAAACATTTAATGCAAAAAATATTTTAATAAATATTTAATAATAATTGAATATTAATTAATTAAAAAAATTAATTAATTTATATTATAAAAAATTTATATAAAATATATAAAATAAATATTTTTATAAACTATTGAAATTATGGTCAAAATAAAATCATTGGTAATTTATGGTGTTATAATCATAACAATAATATTTGGGTCGACCATCAATGGCCAGTTGGCGGCCAATGATTCTCAGATACTAAGCGAAAGCACCCGAAACATACTGATGCAAGTAATGGCTACCGTTTGCGAGATAACTGAGCCCATGTCTAATAGGATGCTCTTCCTATAATTGATCAATGTGAATCGCAAATTTCATTTATGTTATATCATAATATTTTTATTTAATATATTATATTAATATAATTTTTTATATAAAACTGTCATTTAATAAAATAACTATATTATGTATAATTTAATTACAAAGTAGTATTAAATATTTTATTTTTAATTATTATTGTTAAATTGATTATTATAATAATCTAGTAAATAAATATTTAGTTTATAGACTAAAATATTGGAAATATTATAATATTTAAAAGTTTATTATTATTATTTTATTAAATAAATAATTAATATAAAAAAAATCAAAGATTTATTGTATATATATATATATATAACTGTCAAATTATTTATGTAATAAATCTAAAACTACTTAATGTAATAACTTATAGAATAAAAATAAAATATCTATAAAAAAGAAATTGTTTTACTATAAAATACATTATAAGTACAAATAAAAATACAAATTAATTATTCAAAACAGTGCTAACAATCCAATCGATATATTTGGTTAGTCGTAAAAAAGCCATATAAGCATTTGGATCAGTATTAAGACAACCGCCAACAATTGGTTTACCGGATGAACCTCTGGCTATACCAATAAGTACAGCCCGAACACCCATACCATCATCACTACTACCACTACCACTACTATTACCCGAAACATATTGAATCAATGGTCCGCCAGAATCACCCTAATTATTATTATTAGTAGTATTATTATTATTATACAAAAAAAAAAGTTTAAACAAACAAAATAATAGTTTTTTTTTCTCATAAACAAAACCAAACAAATAATAATAATAATAATAATTGAAAATATAGTTTAATAAGACATACCATACAAAAAGCCATTCCTTTAGCGATTGGATATCTAAAACTTCTAATATAATGACCCCATAAATCGTAATTATTATTCAATCTTTTTGCTAATTTCAACCAACCCGTCCTCAATGGTCCCAAATTGTCGACTCCCGGATCAGTTCGACCAAAACCAGCAAACAGTGCCAACTGTTTATCGTCATCGGTGTTGATGTCGATGTTTCTGTCGGGCAAACAAATACTGTTAACCGTATAATATCTGCCATTCATTGATCTGGTAATCCCTATATGTCTATTAAGTTTCAATAGCGCCAAATCAAACATTTGTTTGGTTACTAAATCAATTGTATAGTTTGGATGTATGAACCACTGGTCCAAACCATATGTATGGCTGTTATCTATCTTATCCTGAACTGTCCGAACAGTTATAGTTTTATCGGAACTGTTTATTAATTGTTATTTTAGTAAAATAAATAAATAATAATTTTAAAAATATTGAATTATTAGTTTTTTTTAAAAAAAATATAAAATAAAAGTAAATTTACTTGGAATTCAATTTATAATACAGATTTGAAATTTACATATATTTTTTAATTTATTTATTTTTAAACAATATATTATATCATACTCTATACAATGTGCTGCTGTTATAATCCAATTGGTGTTTAGTATAATACCCGTACATTCATCGCTATTGAAAATATATATATATATAAATATATATATTTAATACAAATTATTGAATGATTTAATTTTAAAAACAAATATTAAAAATTTCGTTTTTTTAAAAAAAACAATATAATAAGTTTTACAAACTTTGAAATCGGTATAAATCCTAAAAAATAATAATTCGCATAAATATATACAATCCATGGCCACTCTCCCGGTTGAGCTAACCGTCCGTTTTGTACACCACTTGTAGTCGCATTTGATGACCACTTGAAACAGTTTTTTGTAGTCAACAGTGACTGCCGTCCGATACCACACGTGTCGAGCGTTACGTTCGGATAGTGTTTGATCTGTGAGTGAATGCAAACACTGAACGACACCAATACTGATGACAACAATACTATTAATGAAAAAATTTATTTAAAATTTTTTTTTATGACAAAAATGTTTTTGTAATCTAAGTATTTAGTATAAAAATAATATAAAATAATAACAAACATATGTTTATCAAAATTTTCATTATGATATCCTTAAAAAAAATTGAATTGTATGTCAATTATGATACAATTATTAATATTATTGTATAATATTTATTAATAAAATATTTAATTAGCCTAAACTATTATTATAATTATAATACACATAAATATATTAATTATTTTAAAAATTAATAATATACATCTCAAAAAATTTAAACTTTTTAAAGCATTAAACAGTAAAAATTAACAAAAATAGTTTCAAATTTCTTAATTGATAATTAATATTTTAAAAAAATATTTATAATATTATATTCTATTACATTGTAATTGATTTGTTAAAATATTTTATTAGTCTTTTTAGTTTAATATTATATAAAATAAATAACATTTATTTTATAAATACTAATAAAATAAAATAATTAATTTTTGAAAACTTAATAAACATTTAAATTAATTAATAAAATAATAATTTAAAATTTTAAAATACTGTTGTAATACTCTATTTAATTATAATTTTTTTAATAAGATTATATTTTTTAGTTATTAAAACTGTAATATAGTTTTTATTTTTTTTTATAAATTTATATTAATATTAATAATAAGATAATATAAATTGATATATTAACTAAAGATATTTAAAAATATATTATAATATTAATACAGTAAAACAAAATTTTTTATAATTATTTATAACTATGACTAATAGTAATGAATACTAAAATATTTACCAAACATTAGTAAAAATATATGAGACTATTTGTTAACTAGAATTATAAACAACTAATTTTTTGTTTTTAAAAAAACAATTAATAGTATCAGTTTTTAATAAATAATAAATTTATTTCTATATTTTTTAAATATACTATTATTTATACATTGCATATAATTATTAATTGAAAAAATAAGTATCAATTTATTACATAACTATAACTAATAAATATTTACAAAAAAATATTGATGAAAATATGAGACAATTTGTTAACTAAAATGTTAACTAAAAACAAATAATTTGTTATAGTTTTTTTTATATCAATTAACAGTATAAATATTTTGATAAATATTGATTTGTTTTAATATTGTAGTAAATGTTTTTTTTTAAATACATTTCATATATAAATCAAATTATATGTAATACTTATTTATAATTATTTTACTTTCAAATAATATATAATATACTAAAGTAGTATTAAAAAATAGTTTACAATAAAAATTAAACTGAATAAAATTATAGCTAATAATTATAGCTTATTATTTGATTAGTTATTAATAATAATTTATTAATATATAAAAAATAATTATTTAATAAATAAACATGTTTAACATTACAGGTGAAGGTAAAGTAATAATAATAATATCTTATGTTATTGTATTTAATAAATAATAAGCTATTTTTTAAATAAATATTTTAGATATCATTAATACTACGACTAATATTTTAATTAACATCATATACACTATTAGTGAGACATTTGCCGATAATGTAACACAAATTAATTCAAACATAACAACAACTGTGAGTAAGTAATTAGAAAAATGTTTATTGTATATTAAAAATAAAAGACAATATAATTAAATATTTAATTAAAATAAAATTAGTTAGATTTGATTAATGAAACAACAATTACCAATGGCCTGAATATTACATCAACTACCAGTTCAGTATTTGCCTTTAATATAACTAAAATTAGCCCAACTATATCACCCAATGGTATTTATAAACTTCTAGAAAATAAGTTTTTTTTATAAAAAAAATATAATAATTTAATTTTTATTATAAGATGAAATGAAAATAAATAATATGTCAAACATCACATGGATTACCGTTTGCATTGTTATGGCATTAATGTCATTGTTATCGGCGATAATAATCATCACAGTAATGACTACTGAATGGTATTATATGGACAACATTTGCGGATCAACTGTTAGTGATAGCAATGATCATACATTTGATTTGATTCAACCGTTTGATAGCAACAACCTTAGGTGTGGACCAAACACTTTGATTAGACATCAGTTAAGATATCAACGACAACAACATATGATTGCGAAATCAAAGCAATTAATACAACAAAAGCATTTTTATAGACAGTTTTATACTATTTAAAAGTATATTATTATTAATATTACTAATATTATAATTACTATTAATATTATTATTATTATTATTAGATTTACATGTGTTCTGGTTTACAAAATTTCAATTAAAACATTTAAAAAAATATATTTACTTAAAATTACTTATAATATACTTGTATTTTCAAATAAATATAACCCAATTAATTAATATTTTATTTTTATTTATTTTTTAAAAAATAATGTTTTTAATTAAGTGTAGAGTATATTTATGAATAATTTGATGATTATAAACAATAAATTTAATATATATATATATATATAATATGACTACTTGTTTGCCGGCATATCGTCGACGATAGTGACAATTGCCAGTCACTGTCATCGCCATCAATGGCCAGTTGTTTAATGATGGCCTCTGCCATCATAGGTAGGGATAACTTTCGTGAGTCAGTCATATAGAATTGGGAACATACAGTACATCGATGTTAATGAAATTAAGGCCCGGATATTGACAAACTATGAGGTAATTACAATAAAAAAAACATATACTGTATATATATAGTACATATATATTAAAAATTAAATTATCAATATTATCTGAATTAATAATAATTGATTAATTATTATTATTATTTCAGAAATGCATGCAACCTATTCTACAAATAAAATAATAATAATTTTATAATAATATAAACTGATTTTTAGTAAATTTTTATATAAAAATAAATTAAATTAACAATATCTAAATTTTTTTTTTGTATTTTTTATTTATAAAAATAACAAACAAATCACAGGTGCAAATTGATTATAAATACAAATTGTTTGTTAAGTACAATAAATAAAATAATATATATTTAAGTCATATAATTTTGTTAATAAATTATTTTAAATTATTTATTATTAGTAGCAGTACTTTTTTTTATGTTATTTTGTGTAGAAATTTAATCAACCGTAAAAATTTCAATTATTAAACTACATAAATAATATGTAATAGTTTTTATTTGTAATTTAAGTACAATAGTAGTAGTATAGTGTACTACCCTGTAATCAAATATGCACTATAGATTATTTTTGAAAAAAATATATAATAAAATAACAATAATTTTATAATAAGTCAAACATAATTTTTAAAATCAGTAAACACCCAGTATATTTTTTTTATTAATTTTTTATAATTTATTAAATTTATAATTAATTAATCCACAATAAAAATCAATCAATAAATACTAATTTTTATTTTATTTTTAAGAAAATGCACATATCTTTGCAATTATCTATTATTGTTTTAATATATAAATTTGTTATTTTGTTAACTATACTGAACATTACAACCATCACTATTATCAGTGCCCAGGGAGAGGGTATCAGTGAGGATACCCAAAACATACTGATGCAAGTAATGGCCACTGTATGCGAGGTAACTGAGCCGATGTCGAAAACTATGGTCGACACTATCGAGAAATGTGAATCCGATATTTCATTTTTGGTAATAAAAATTAAGTTTAATTTTTTATATATATATAATCTAAACTTATAAATAGTGTATTGATTAATAATTTTTTATACTCTATTAAATAGTTGTTATAATAGTTGCCAAAAAACGTCAAATAGTTGTTAAAATAGTTATTTAAAATGTATTAAATAGTTGTATATAATTGCCAAAAAAGCCAAATAGTTATTAAAATAGTTATTTATTTTCTTATAAATATTTCAACTGATATATAATTCACTTGTTTTCAGCATATTTACAAAAATGATTTATATAAATAAACTAAATATTTCTATTGTTAAAAAAGTAATATGAGTTGATAACAGTTTACACATTTTATATAATTTATTTAACTATTACTTTTTGTTTTTACATATATTTGAGCAATATTTTACAATTTAATGCTTATATTTTTCAAAATAACTGAAATAGTTATTTATAAGTTTTTATAGTTGCTAACCTAACAAATAGTTATTTATAGTTATAATAAAATTTTGGAAATAGCGTCCACTGGTCAACTTCGGTGGACATACTAAGTCCCAGTTATAAGCGTTGAACCGACAAAATAATTTTTTTTAGTTGGAAATCAAGACACTACTTATAAATCATATTATTTAGAAAAAATAAATCTTATACTATATATTAATATATATATATATTATATAATAGTTTAGATCTATTTATCGTCGGTGTCTACGACAAAGTTTGAACATAACAGACATAACTGAGCCATTTCTATGCTATCGATTAAAACCCGGAGCCGATAAAGTATTGTCAAAAAAATTTTAATATTTATTAGAAAATCTAAAATTGCAATTTATTATATAAAATATTATTTCTTTATAAATATATAAAATTTAGACAAAAATTTGTATGGATAAATGGGGTCGCAGGGCCTCCTGGGTGGGCGTCAATGTTGATGCTATCCGGGCCCGTATACTAAATGAGTATGCTGTATGTATAAAAATTAATTTTAATATTTAATTTGTAAATTTAAATTGTCTTAATAAAATTAAAATTATATTTTTTTCAAATTTTGAATAAATATTAAACTAAATATTAATTAATTATATTTTCAGGCTTGTATGAAATCACTAATTTAATAATAATAATAATATTATTTGAATTTGTAAAATAAATACAATTTAATTATTACTTTGATATTTAAATAAATTATAAATTGATATGTTTATAATTTAATATAAATAAATTATTTTTAAATTTTTTTGTTGATGAAAAAACCTATTGTTAATGTAATAATTAAATACACAAAAAAGTAAATAAATTATTTTTTCAATATAAACTTTATACTTTCATCAAAAAAATTTATGATAAATTATCTAAAAAGAAATGTTCAAAACATTTCAAATTAAAATAAATTGAAAAAACTGTTATTAATTTTAAAAAAGCAATTTAATTTAGTAATATATTTTTAAATAACAAATAATTAGAATAATTAAATAAAATAACATTTAATTTTAATTTTTTTATATAAAAAATACAAAATAATTAAAAAAAACATACAAATGTTAAACATTTAGGTTTTAGTTCAGATAAAATTTTTCATATATTTAGCCACCCGTGCAATAAAATCAGGCAAAACAGTGACATAGCCTTTATTCATGATCACTGTGCCGACAATATGCTGATTGGGAAACAGTGTTAACTGTGTGGACACACCAGTAAACCCACCGGCATGTCCTACAACCAGTTTGTATGGATAACTAGCATTCATCGGATAAATACACCATTGTTTTCCTTTTTTTTAAAAAAAACTAGTTTGTCCCGAGCAACATGTATAGCCGTGCAATTCTTTTACTAATTTAAAAATATTTACTATAAGTAATTTGAATGAGACTTAATTTGTTTATACAACTACTACATAACCTAATGTAACAAAACTACTGAACCAATACACATTAATTCGACTAAACTTTTGAAAAATTTTAGTTTTTATATATATTTAAATAATTTTAATAAAAATTGGAAATTTAATCATTTTTGCGAAAAAATTTGCATTTGAAAAAAATTTACAGAAATTTAACACATGTAGCTAACATGTGCCATAAACTCACACAATATAGCAAAGTGTAATTACACGACACACCAGCCTACCTGTCCCTAAAACCTACCTGAGCTCAACAAAAATTTAAAATTTCCCATAGAAATAACATTACTTTAAATAAAAATTGAAAATTTTAACACAAATTGACAAATTTACAAAAATTTTGCACAGGTAGCCAGTGCTGACGTTATCGGTTTGCTAATACTGGCCAATCTCCAGGTATGTCTACATTTGTTGGCACATTGTTTTCAATATCAGCCAAACCGAAACTCTCGGACCAAACAGTTTTGCCTTTAATACTGAAGGCCACTACAGCTCCGGGAATCGATTGGTTGGCCATCAATGACTGCAACTCTTTACGGGCATCACTGATCAAGTCATCAATTTTTGTATAATTTTTGTCTGAATTCAAATGTTTCCAATTATAACCACGTGTTTGATTAAAAATTTCTAACTGTCCATTACATACTATAACTAATAATGTATTAGTTATAAATAATAAATTTACTATGCTTAAGTTAAACATTTTCTAATACTAATTAAAACAAAAAAATATCTTATTTTTTTAATAATAATTATAATAGATTATTTTAAAATAATTGATTTTTTTATGTGTTCAACATGTTTATATACTGAAAATAAACTTTTAAAAAATACAACTTACCTAGTTAAGATAAGATTGTTTGACTATAATCATAAAATAATTTATTATAAGTTATATTATTAATATAATATAATATTAATTAAACTAATTTATCAATTTTAGTTCAAAAAGTATCAGATAAACTATTAGATTATATATTAATCACATACACTTAAAAAAATTAATAAGTGTTATGATTAATGTTTTTTATGTTTCCTAACCTTTTTTAAAAATTATTCTTGCAATTTATTTAAATTATTTATTGATAATAATAATAAAAATAATTTATATAGTATAATATCTATAGTAACTAATTTTTTATTTTATATTAAAAATGTACATGGATAAAATAATTAAAACAATTTAGCATTATTTTTTCAAATAAAATTTTTCAAATTTTTAGCCACACGTGCAATAAAGTCAGGCAAAACAGTAACACCGCCTTTATTGGTGAATACTGTACCGACAATACGTTCATTGGGAAACAATAATAGTTTAGTTGATGTACCCGATAGGCCACCCGAGTGTCCGACAGCCAGTTTGTACGGATAGCTAGCATTCATATAATATACGGTTCATTGTTTTGCTAAAAACATAAAAATAAGTGAATGAAAGTTTTTAAATATTTTTTGATAGCAAACTAATAGTAAGTTACCATAATCTCCACGTAATTCCGGTTTAATTTTGCCAACAGTTTCGGGTTTCCATAACTCTTTGATTGTCGATTCACTAACTATTACTATACATATATATATATATAATATAGATTAAATTAATTAATAATAAATTTCAATAAATATTTAATTTATTATAATTAGTTTTTATACATTCATCAGTTCCGTGATAGGCATCAATCATTGAGTTGCCAAACCTTAACATATCGGTAACAGTTGATAGTATACCACCGGCCGGCCACCAGCCCTCGTAGTTAAACATATCGTCTATCAGATCGCTATTTTGCAGTACAGTTGGCTTATCAGGTGATGCCGAGTAATATCTGGGTCTATGTTTGACTAGATTTTCATGTTTTTCCATAACAGTTGAATTCATACCAATTTTAGCAAACAATTTAGGCATTTCGTCAACAAAATTACTGTTTAATATCGACTCTATGATAGCACCGACCACTTGAATACCATAATTAGAGTATTGCCATTCGGTTCCCGGTTTAAAAAGTAATGGTTCGTTGTTAAACAATCTAATCATTTGTCTAAACGTTTGTTGCCTTAAAAAATTTATTTATATCGTCGGGAATTCTGGTTATATGAAGGCCAGCCATATGTGACATCAGTAGTCTCAGTGTTAGCTTATATTCAATGCCATTGTATCGATGAATAGGAAACAAACTGAGCGGCAAATAATCGTTAATAGGTTTGTCTAAATCCAGTAGTTTTTTGTCTATTAGTTGACCGACAAGTACTGATGTAACCGGTTTACTAATACTACACAATCTCCACGGACTGTCCACATGTGTGGGCACATTGTTTTCAATGTCAGCCAAACCGAAACTCTCCGACCAAACAGTTTTGCCTTTAATACTGAATGCTACTACAGCTCCGGGAATCGATTGGTTGGCCATCAATGACTGCCACTCTTTACGTGAATCATTGATCACGTCATCAATTTTTGTATAATTTTTGTCGACATCAAAGTGTTTCCAATTCTGAACAACAGTTTGTTGTCGAAAAATTTCTAACTGACCACTAGATAGTAATATTAGTGTATTAGTTATAAGTAATAATTTTCCTATTTTAAAATTAAACATTTTTTTCAACCAAAAAAAGTATAAATTATTGTTTATCTGTAAATTAATTGTTTTTTTTTGATTGAATATCAATAGTATTAATTCTATATATTTATATACTAAACTAACTTTAGTTTATAAAACATATATAATTTCATTAAATTTATAACATTTAGCCAATTAAGATAAGATAATTATATTTTACTATTGCTTTACTATTATTAATATCAATAATGATATTATATAAAAATTAAAACAAAATACTTAAAATACTTTATAGATAAAAAAATACTATATCTTAATATTTCTATTACTGTTTTATTTTTAATTTATCAAATTTTGTACGTACTAATTGTACTTATAAGTTAAAAAAGTGTTATTTTTAAAAATAAAATTTTTAATCATTTATTTAATGATTTTTGTTTCAATTAAAAAAAATTAATCGGAAAATGTTTAGAAATAAATAAATATTAATCACTTGTTATTTATAATTAACAATTAATATAATCTAAAGTTGTACGTACTAAATGTACTGAATATTAATGTAAAATTTATTATTATTATTAAATTATCATTAAAACTTATAAAGTTATATATAATATATATCAATAGTATCAATATCGATATTAATATATTTAATATCGTTATTGATACTTATTCTAACTTGTTAATAAATATATTTAAATTAGCTATTGATGATAATAATATAAATAATAATAATAATAATTAATACAGTATATACTAATAGTAACTAATAAAACTTTTTAAATAAATAATTAGCTATTTGCATTTTAAGTATTTTTTATTTAAATAAAATTTTTCAAATTTTTAGCCACCTGTGCAATAAAGTCAGGCAAAACAGTAACACCGCCTTTATTGGTGAATACTGTACCGACAATATGTTGATTGGGAAACAGTGTTAACTGTGTTGAAGTACCCTTTAGACCACCCGAGTGTCCGACAACCAATTTGTATGGATAGCTTGAATTCATATTATATATCATCCATTGTTTTGCTAAAAATTATAATAATAATAATAAAATGAATGTTGAAATACAAAATATAAATATTTTAAATAAAAATTAATATATTATATTTACCATAATTTAAATGATATTCCGGTGGTATATATATGCCAATGGTTTCGGGTTTCCATAACTCTTTGATTGTCAATTGACTAACTATTGCTAAAACAATAGATACAGTATATAATTATATAATACAATAAATTTCTAATGTTATAATAGCATATATTATCATATATATAAATATAAGTTAAATTTTTATATAATACATTGATCAGTTCCGTGATAGGCATCAATCATTGTGTTGGCAAACCTTAACATATCGGTAACAGTTGATAGTATACCACCGGCCGGCCACCAGCCCTCGTAGTTAAACATATCATCAGTCAGATCGCTATTTTGCAGTACAGTTGGCTTATCAGGTAATGCAGAGTAATATCTGGGTCTATGTTTGACTAGATTTTCATGTTTTTCCAAAACAGTTGAATTCATACCAATTTTAGCAAACAGTTTCGGCATTTCATCGACAAAATTGTTTTTCAATACCGACTCTATGATAGCACCGACCACTTGAATACCATAATTAGAGTAATCCCATTTGGTTCCCGGTTTAAAAAGCAAGGTTTGATTGTCAAACAGTTTAATCATTTGCGTAACATTTGTTGCTTTGAAAATTGGTGTCATATTATGGGAATATAATTTTATATAAACACCAGCCGTATGTGACATCAATAGTCTAAGTGTTAGTTTATATTCAGTGCCATTGTATCGATGAATGGGAAACAAACTGAGCGGCAAATAGTCGTTAATAGGTTTGTCCAAATCCAACAGTTTTTTGTCTAATAGCTGACCGACCAGTACTGATGTAACCGGTTTACTAATACTACACAATCTCCACTGACTGTCCACATGTGTGGGTACATTGTTTTCAATGTCAGCCAAACCGAAACTCTCGGACCAAACAGTTTTGCCTTTAATACTGAACGCTACTACAGCTCCGGGTATTGAATGATTGGTCATCAATGACTGCCACTCTTTACGGGCATCACTGATCACGTCATCAATTTTTGTATAATTTTTATCGACATCAAAGTGTTGCCAATTATGAACACCAGTTTGTTGTCGAAAATTTTCTAACTGACCACTAGATAGTAATATTAATGTATTAGTTATAAGTAATAATTTTCCTATTTTAAAATTAAACATTTTTTTCAACCAAAAAAAAATAGAAATTATAAATAAAATTATTGTTTATCTGTATATAAATTGTTTTTTTTTATTTAATGTCAATAGTATTAATTCTACATATTTAAATACTAAATTTTAAAAAAATAAATATCGATAATTGTTATTAATTAAGATACTATTGTTATTTACTTTAATCTTATCGTAAACACTAAAATTAAATTAATATAAAATAAATTAAGTTGTTATCAATTAGTTTGCTATTTTGCTGACTTAGTAGACTTATCTATTTTATTATAAATTTTTATAAAAAATAAATTAATAGTTTATAGATAACAAAAAAAAGTAAGTATATTTTTTAGTATTAATCTGCAATCAAGTGTGTACGTACTAAATGTACTAATAATTTATAAATTATTATATATTATATATATATATATATAATTGTATAATAAATTTTGTTTCATTAATTTAATTTATTATTTTAAAATAATATTCAAAAAAAACTTGAAAAGTTTTGTTTTCTGAAATCTATACGAGCCTTTTTTGTGTGTGTGTGTGTGTGTAGCATTTTTTTTGCGAATTTTGAAATTCTGACCTCAGATTCGGTTAGAGGACTACTAATAATGTATTGAAAAGTTTAATTAAAATTTTGATATCTCTTCGGGAACATAGACAAAATGGCGGCCAAAGTAAAAAAATTAGGTAAAAATTTTAACGTTTATAATTGTAAAGAGTATCAAAAATATGATATAATAAATCAGTATAAATTTTTTTAAATGGCGGCAAAAGTATAAAAAAAATTTAAGAAATTTTTTTAAAGTATAGATTTGAATAAACCATCAAAAACAAGGATAAAAAATATGCATTAAAATTTTGATATCTACGGGAACAAAAAGAATAAGTATAAGCGGAAAAAGTATAATTATAGATTATTATTTTGTTATACTAAATCATTTGATACCACACATGACTATAGTTTATTTTGACATACTGAATCATTTGATACCATACATGACAATATTTATATTATGTATATTTGACCAGTTTTTAAATTTTTATATGTTATTATATAGCCGCTATAATTATACAAACTAATAGTTTTCAATGTTATTCAAGTTTTTTTTCTGAAAATGCTTTCTAGCATTCTTAACTGGTTTTTTATTCAATTTTATGCACAAACACAAATGCTAAGTAATAACTAAAGTAATATATTCAGATATCACGAACTCCTGAAAGGATTACGTACTGAATTCTATATGTCCTTCCGTCTGTCTGTCTGTCTGTCCTTCCGCATTTGATTGAATTTTGAAATTTTGACTTCAGATTTGGATTAAGCATCAAAAATAAGGTATAGGGGATCAGCATTAAAATTTTGATATCTCATATAGGGGAACATATAGAAAATGGCGGCCAAAGTTAAAAAAAAATTTCAAAATTAATATTTAATTCTTGGATTGGAAAATAAGTTAAATGAAATTAGCAAACAAATTTTTATATCTTAAATAAGATTTAAAATATCACACCACAAGAAATAAAATATTATCTAAATGCGAACGTTCTTAGTCTCTACCCTCTCCCCCTCGTTCGCAAAAGTTCGCTTTGGCTAACCCCCCCTCCCCTCAAGTGCGAACGTAATATGTGAACCACGCCAAAGAAAAAAAATGTTTAATTAATTGCTTAAAACAGTTTTTATTAATCCAATCAATCTTTTTGGACACTCGTATAAAAGTCATATAAGTATTTGGTAGAGGATTAAGACAACCGCCGACAAGTGGATTACCCGAATAACCTTTGCCAACACCAATATGTAAGGCCCGATCAACCATACCATCATCACTACTGCCATCCGAAACATATTGAATTAATGGTCCGCCAGAATCGCCCTAAATATTGATAAATTAAAAGAAAAAAAAATAAAAATTTAACCGCAAAAAATATAATATAGTTTTAATTGTTGATAAATCAAACCAAAAAAAACACCGATTCCTTTATCGATTGGATATCTAAGTCCTTGAATACGATTACCCCAATAATCCTTATTATTATTCAATGTTTTCATTAATTTCAACCAACCCGTTCTCAATGGTCCCGAATTTCTAATATCCGAATCAGTTAAGCCATAACCAGCAAACAGTGCCAACTCTTCATCGGTATTAACAATGTCTCTGTCGGTCAAACAAATACTGTTTACCGTATAATACCTGCCATTCATTGATCTGGTAATCCGTATATGACTATTCAGTTTCAAT